ATCATTGTCATCAGCATCAGTATCACCATCAGCAGCAGCGGCAGCACCATAATCGTCACCCTCCTCCTCTTCCTCCTCCTCCTCCTCCTGCCCCTCCTGCCCCTCCTCCTCCCTCTCCCCCTCAACCTTCAAGCTGTGGCCCCCGACCCCTCCCCACTCACGTCCTGCAGCCTGCCTGGCGGGAGCGTGGGCGGGCCCGCCGCCTGGGGTGGGCCGGCGGAGGGCCGGCGGAGGAGGGGACGCAGCACCTCGCTGGCTCACCACTCGGGCGCTGCTTCACGGGCGGGCCCCGTGCCGCCACGGGCCCTCCCCGCTGTCGCGCGTCGCGAGGCGCGAGACGACCACGCGATTCCGCTCTCCGGACGACGCCGGGACCCGGGACGTCACGTCACGGGCCGCCCCATGGCCTCCCCGAGAGAGGGCCGCCCGAACCAAAGCGGCGGCGGCAGGCCCCCGCGAGCACCCATGGGGTGGGAGGGGGGATGGGACGTGCACGTTTCGTGCCCCTTTTGGGCCGCTTTAGACCCCTTGCAGGGTGCGAAAGGTTGTAGCGTCCTTCACCTCCCTCATTATCATTGCCCCCCTCCCCACTGCGCAACGTCCAGACCACCGGCGGTCGTTCGGGACGGTCGGGGCACCCCAAGGACGCCTCTCGGCGAGGCGCAGCTGCTGGAGAGCAGCCCAAGGCAACATATTGCCGAGATCCGACGGCGACGCCCGACAACCTCGAACCTCGAACCTCGATCCTGTCGCCCACCCCCTGAGCCCATGAATCACACAGCCTCAACTCTCCCAGGGTGGTGTAGTGACGGGAACTGTGACCGAAAATCTGCCCGAGAGTGGCCGAAACCAGCGCGCTCGAACTTGCTCGAACGCGCCAGAGCGTGACCGAAGTTCTGGGTTCGAGACCAAAGCGATTTTCAATGCTGGTCACATTCTCGGTCACACTACGCGTTCGGTCACACTTTCGGACCCGCTTTCGGTCACCGATTATGCTCGGTCCCAGACATGTTCGGCCGATAGGTGCTGGGCACCATGACACCCATTCTGCCCCCGAGATCTGACGAGATTGCCCGCGAACCTCGAACCTCGAACCTAGAGCTTGTCGCAGCCCCCCCCCGAGCCCATCCCCCCCTCACGCTGCCTAGCATGAAGCAACCTGGTCCTGAGGAACACGGGTCCTGAGCCCTGGGGCCTCCCGAGCTGCTTTCCGACAGTCCCGGGGCCCGTGGGGGCTCCGCGGGGCGAGAAACTGCGATGGGCCTCAGGAGCCGTTCTCCTCGGGACCCGCTCCTCTCGTGGCGACTTGCCCCTCGCCTCCTGGGCCCTGCTCCCTCAGGACCCTAGCTGCCCCGATACGCAACACGCAACACGTGGCGTATTGATACGGAGCTCAGCACGTGGGCTGAATACGCGGGTCCGACGCGATACTTTCGCCAAAACGTGGGCCAATACGTGGAGCCAACACGCAACGTATGGACAGGGACGTCTTCCACACGGGGCGTGTTGCGTTTCAATACGGGCGTATCGAGACAGCTAAGCTCGGGGCCCGTTCCCGCAAGACCCGTCTCCCGCACTTGCCATCGCTCGGGCGTCAAATCCCCGTGCATGTCTCGGCTTCGTGCGTTCGTCGCTTCTTCCTCGCAAGATGATCCAGGATGCTCGTCGCTGCTCCTAGCCACCCAAAAAAAATGCGCACGTGCAAGCGATGCCCAGCTCAGGGCGAGGTGCCCCCCGAGATTCCCCTGGCGGCGCGCACGAGGGGCTAGGGGGGAGGAGGAAGGGCCTCTTAGAACGAGGCTCCTTCTCAGAAGGCGGCGGCCCTGCATCTACAGACAAGGCCAGCGCCTTCTAAGAAGCAGCCTCCCTCTAAGAAGCCTGCCCCCCTCCCCCGACCCTCCTCCAGGGCTGGACCTAAACGTGGTATGTTCGGTTTGTGTTCGTCTTGTGCTTCGTGTTGCTCTATACCTGTTTTCCTGCATCTCCCCGCCAGAGCGAAAAAACCAAGCGTGGCCGAAGTCCAGCAAAAGAGCGTTTAGGGCCAAGCCTGCCCTCCTCTGCGCGTGGCCGACCCCTGCGCCCCCCCCACATTGAGGGGCAACGATAGGGGGGGACTGGCATAGGGGGGGGATGCATCGACCTGGAATCGGCGATACATCGCCGATAGATCGGCGATAGGCCTCCGATAAGGAATCCACACCTTCCTGGGCACGTTGGGTTCATCGGGCTCCTATCGGCGATCAATGGGCGATTGGGGGTCGATGCATCCCCCCCTATGCCCATCCCCCCCTATCCAAGGACTCCCAACTTCGCGCTTCGCGCTGCGCGAAGCGCGAAGCGCGAACAACCTCGCGGCTCTCTCGCACCGCCTCCCAGGGTAGGAAGAGGAGGAGGACGAGGAGGCATCGGAGCCGAGCCGCGAAGCGCGAAGCGCGAACAACTGCGCGCCCTCGAGGGGCGCCCCTGCTGTCGCTGCCCCCTGACCCCTCGGGAGCGGCTAAGAGGGGGGTGTCCAAGAGGGGGGGGTGCAGAGCATGACCGGCGGCATGTGCGCGGCCCAGCGAGGGGGCCAGGGACGTAATGAAATAAGAAGGGGCGCCACGAGATCTGGGGAAATATCATGACCCCCGCCATGATATCCACCCCCCCTAGTCATCACCCCCCTCTTTTCCGTCCCCGAACCCCTGCGGCTCCGCCGTCGCCGGCGGCGGGCCGCCGGGAGGCCCAGCGACGCGGCCGCAGGCCGGCTCCCCGGGGCGGGGGCTGCAGGCGCCTGGCGCTCGCCCGCGCGGGGCTCGGGGCGAGGACCGAGGACGAGGACGAGGACGACCACGACGACGACGACCACCACCACCACGACGACGACGACCACCACGACGACGACCACCACCCCCACGACCACCACGACCACGACGGCGACGACGACGACCACCACCATCACGACGACGACGGCGACGGCGACGACGCGGGCGGGCGGGCTGGCGGGTCGTCGGGGGGGCGGACCCTAACGGGCGGGGCGGGTCGGGTCGGGCGGGCGAACACTGAAGGGCGGGTCGGGGGAGGAGGAAGACGAAGGAGGAGAAGGAGAGGACTCGGCACTGCGTGCGGTCTCATCGTCTGGCCTGCTGAGGGCCGAGCACCGACCTCACCGGGCGCCAGGCCTCGCACCTTCGCTCGCACCTCCGACGGGTGAAGACGGCGGAGGAGGGTGGCTCAGCCGGTGCCAGCCGGTGCCCGGGGGGAGCCGGAGCGGGGCTCGGGAGGCGAGGGGAGGAGGACACAGACCCCCCCCCGCGTCGCGACAGCAAATCTCGGGGATGGACAGAACCCCCTTTCACAGAACGTGGTTCAGCGAAAACGACCTCGGGCCCAAGCCTGGCGGGCGCAAGCCTGGAAAATGAAGGCCGCGGCGCCCTCTCGAGGACCGAACACGGACAATTCACTAATCGACGTGTCAGGGTGGGGGTTCTGTCCACCCCCGAAAATCACGACGGAATGCGAGTTTCGGCCCCTGGGGGGCCCCTCGCAGGGCTCCAGGGCCGTCAAGGAGCACCTCGGGAGGAAGGACCTGCCCCCCCGGAGGAGGTCCAGAGCTCTGGGAGTCCAGCCCATGGCAAAATCATGACGTCGGTGGCCCAGGGAGGACGGACGGGACGGGGAGGACGGGGAGAAGGGAGGCATACATGGTGGTCGGCGGCCCTCTCGGAGTGTCCGGGAGGAGGGTCCTGTTCTGGGGGACTCTGAGGAGGCCCCATTGGGTCCTCGAGGGGGCTCTGACGAGTGCTGCGGGCATCTATAGGAGATTCGAGGGGGAAGAGGGGAATGCAAGAGGGAAGCGGGGACGAGGTCGCGCGCGCGAACGCTGCGCGCGGCGCTCGGCGATCGAGACGGGCGCCCCTGCCCAGTGCCCAGGGAGAGGGGCAGGGGGCAGGAGGAGGAGAAGCGCCAGAGGAAGAGCTGGAGGAGGTGGAGGGCGAGGAGAGAGCAAGGAGAGGAGGGACAGCATCATGCCGCGGGCGCGCGCGCACGCCCTCGGCGCGCGCGGCGACTGGTGATCGAGAGCGGGGCACCACCAGAGGAGAGGGGGAGCAGGCAAGCAGGAGGAGCGGGCGGAACGGAAGTGCCAGGCTCTCTCGGGGTTCCGTGCGTGTCACTGCTCCTCCTCCTCCTCCTCCTCCTCCTCCTCCTCCTCCTCCTCCTCCTCCTCCTCCTGTGGCAGCAGGAGAGGGGACATAATGTTTTCCCTTGAGCCACACGTGGCACGGACAAGTACAAGATGGATCTCTGTCCATCGGTCCCCAGAGTGAAACACCAAAAGCTAAACCTATACGTGAGATTATGGACCCCTGGAACATGGGTCCAACTTTCTCTAGGTTTAGCTGTCCCAAAACTCAATTCGCCGGTCCGTGGCCACTGCCTGGCAGTGTCAAAACGACCTGCAAATGTCAAACTTGCGCAGCAGCAGAGAAAGAGAGAGAGAGAGAGGCAGAACTAGAGAGCAGATTATTGGAAAACGGATTCGGAGGATGATAACGGCGGAGGAAGAGAGGAGGAGGACGGGAGGACACCACCACCACCAACCAGGCCAGGAGGAACCCTCTGGTCCAGGTAGTCGAGCCATGCTATGCAGGCGGGCTCTGACAGCATTCTTCTGGAGGCTGCCTGAGAGCGGTCTTTGCGCTCGGGCATGTCCTTCCGGCGGCCGACCTCTTGGGCCTCGTCCACCAGACTGAGCTTGCCGTTGGTCATCAAATCAAACAGCGCGGCATTACACTTAGTCACGTCGTCCTTAGTCAAAGCGTCCACCGGCATACGGCCATGGGGTATCCATCGTATCTTACCTTTGGCTCGCTCCAAGGACTCGCAGATGATGGCGAGGTCTAGAGCTGTACGCCTATCACGGGCTGAGGCGTTGCCTTCCTTCTGGAAGGTATCATAGATTGACTTGGCGTCCACCACGTGGACCTGTTGTTCCCGGGAACCCAAGCTACAATCGCGTCTTAAGACCGTAGTAAAGGGCCCTGAGGCCCGCACACAATCAGGCAGATCAACATCTTTGAACACGACATCACGGTACAACACTTGAAGAAACTCGACTTCCGCCACGGCGGCCGAGAGAGCTTGAGTCTCTCCGGCCAACGTCGAAGGCACCTTACGCCGTAGCTTACTGCTACGCCAACCAAGCACGGACGCTCTTACCACCTGATTATCGAGAACGGACTTGTCGGCAGCCAACACCATCCAGGCTCCCTGGGTGGGGTCGGCTGGGAGGCCATTGTCATCCTGGAGAGACTCTACCGAACCAACCCCGCCGGCATCGGAAAACGATATGAAAGACATACGCTCAGGGTCTAGCTGCCAGATCGTCAGTCCACGAGAGGCGGTTGCCCTCAGGTGCTTCACCAACTTGTTGGCGCAAGACACGTCCGACACTGTCGGAGCTCGCAAACGACTAGCCAAAATACTTGCTACTCCGGCCGCTTCTGGCCGTGACTCTCGGCCGACCCAATTAAACTTGTAGACCAGGGAACGCAAAGCTTTAAACTCGGGCGGCTCGAGAGGAGAATTCTTGACAGACAAGCGGCCCCGGGCCAAGGTCAAAGGACGGATTTCTTCCAGGATGTACTTCTCCTGGTCAACAACGGCCTTGCCAGGAGAGAAGGAAACACGCCTACCAGCAAAATCCACCGGGCCGGCATGACAGTCTCGATACTTCCCGAAACGGAAGCGGTCCTCTAGGATACCGCGAATCCACGCTCGGGCATCCGCATCCGCACTCCCGATAAAGAAATCGTCGACTTCCAGCAACATCATGTTCTGGATGGCTCCATCTGCTCGATACTTCAGCCACCAGCAGGGCTCCAGCAAACTTCTTTCGAACCCGTGCTTTTCCAAATGGCCAGCCACAGTGCGACGCCACGCTACCGGAGCATCGTCCAGCCCGTAAACGTTCACCAGCAAAAGGATAAGGGATCCAGGCTCAACGTCGATACCCTCGCAAGGTTCAACATATATTTGGCCCTGGGACCGCGTCATCGGATCTGACTGGGTGAAAGCGTTCTTGACATCCGCGATGTCTCCGAGCATCCTGAAATTGACCAGTACCTGAATGAACATCATAATAGACGAGGTCTGAGGGGTGGGCGCATATACGGCAAGGGAGCCAGAGTCGGGATCCTTATGACCGTGCACGCACCACCTGGACTTCGCTTCTGGTTCCACGAATGTCCCCTCAACTGGCTTCCATCGGCGCACCATTCGGCTGGATATGATCCTGTCCGGACAACGTTGCCGTATCTTCGCCGCCTGATTCGGAGGGATGACTCGGACACCCCCGGATTGCAGCATGGCCTTCCATTCTTTGTCATCTGACGCCTGAAACCTCTGACGCTCCTGAGGGGTGAGCCTCTTGAGTGTCACTTCTCCCCCGCGGCTAGCTGCGAAGGTGTCCCCGTCCTGAATGCTTTCGCACGCGGCCCCGACAAACCCCTCGACATTCCCGGGGATGACGGAGAGCCCGTCGATCGGCCCCGGGACCACGAAAAACTCGCTGGTGGCCTCTGCCTCGACTATTCCCTCGGCTCCTCCGTTACGACTTGGCGACCGTGACCTGGCTCGGGCTTCGATGGCCTGAACACGCTCCTGGACAGACTGCCTTGGCTCGTCGCCGGTCCTGACAGGCCCCCGAGTCTCCGGTCCAGGTCCAGGGCCCCCAACACCGGAGGAGGAGGAGGGACTTCCACCGACGGGGTGAGGAGGGTAGGGAGTCGAGGAGGGTTCGGTCCTAGCTCTCTTTATCTCAGGAGGGGCGCTCCCGGCCCTTGCAGCTCGAATGCAAGCTGGGACGTCCTCAGGCTGGGTGAGGCGTCCCCTCGTCTTAGGTCTGGCCCCCTCTGGTGGAGACGGAGTGACTGGGGAAAGGGAACTGGGAGACGCAGACAAAGGAGGGGGAGCAGGAGCAGGTAAGGAAACAGGACGAGGAGAGGACGGAGGAGGGATGAGTTCTGGACTCTCTTGATCCCCTGGCACAACCTCGGCGGATCCTGAGCTAACTCCTCGGGACAACTGCCGACTGAGAGACGGCGTCGCCGACTCCTCTCTGTCTGAAGGAGCCAGCTCGGAAATGGAGGGCAACCCGGTCCTGTCCGAGCCTGGTTGAGCAACAACCGATCCGGCACGAGAGAGAGAACCCCTGGGGGCCCTCCGAGGAAACCCAAGAGTCCCGCCCACTGACGGGGGAGAGGGTCGATTCTCCGGTCCTCGTTCCTCGGCTGGCACCGGCCCAGCTCCGGGAACCCTTGGTTCTGAGTCGAGCTCGGCCTGTGCCGCCTCGTCCCAGGCACTCTCGGGAGGGGGGCCCTCACGCTGAACGTCCACAGCAGTCACCCGCCTCGCCTGAGCCGAACGGAGCAGCTCCTGCCATCTAGGGTCTTCGGCCAATTGAAGGCCGCATTCTTCCTCGGGGCTAGCCAGCCGGACTTGCTCGGCTGAGCATTTCCAGAGACGGGCCCGGACCGCAACCCACACCGTGCCACCCTCGGCAAGCACCACGACCCCGGGACCCGTCCAACCGGCACGACGGCGCCCCAGAGCATCGGCCCTGGAC